GTTTGGTATGCTTTTTAATGACAAACACTACCACAGAACCTCACATTCGACAGGGTCGAAAACTGCCTTAAAGTCTAAGGTTAAGAAATACACTGTAGTCGGATGTCGGGAAGTATGTTTATGTTCCAGGACTTGACAAAGGGTGGGTATTTGGTTGTTACGTTCACGTCTAGGTTTGAACCGAGTCTGACTGTCCCGATTTCTCTCTTCACGAGCCCTGGTTATTGGGGAAAATATATTAGGTGTTATATTATTCAAACAGATTCCTTTGTGGTCACGACTAGGGAGATTTCTGTGCTTTCTTATAAACTGGGACAATCAACGATCGAGACCAGTCAGATGGGATTATGTCTAATTCCCATATTCTAATTATGATCTCAGTCGATCTGACTGATAAACTAGACTACTATCTTTAGAGATCTCCAGAGCTAACCCATTTGAACCTGCTGCTCTGTGTCACTTTAGATTAGTTATAGATTTTTCAACCTCACTAAGAGTTTGAGGGCTGATGTCGATTTTCCTTTCAGGCTGTTTGGCGATAGTGGGTAACTGAAGGGTAGCAGGAGGTCAGTTGAACTGTTGCCTAAAATATTCGGCATATCGGTCTAATCTCATGGGTTGAGAGTGAATAATAGTCCTGAGATAGTCTCACTAACAGGCGGATTATTAAAACCTGTTCGCTTGATAAGTCATTCGGTTGTGGGTGTCGCAGTGTCAGACAATGTCTTCCCTTATGATTGGAGTTGATGTTTGCTAGAAATGAACGGTTATGTGAGCATAGTTGGAGCAGCCTGTTGGCCATGAAGACGTGGGAGTGTGGTGACGGAGGCTAAGGGACAATAGTTTGAGGTCGGTAAAACATGACCCTTTTATGAGAGGTTTATGATCTCCTAGCTCCCTACTTCCAAAGGCCTTGGCACTGAAGACGTAAATCCGTGGTGTAAGTTGTAAAATCATTTCAGAGTCGATATTTCCTAATTTCTTCCCTTCGTTGTGAGAAGGCATCATTGCCGTAGATGCTGGTTTTCTGAAGAAAACACTTTACTGTTATCACACGACTGTACAATTAGCAGTATGACTTCTCCTTCACACCTGAGGTTACTAATTTCACACTGACCGTTCTCCAAACCGACCTGCATGTTATGATAATACCTAAACGAACAAGTATTACAGCCCATATAAATCGATTAAGTGACCACGATATGCAAGCCTAACCACCATATCCATTTAGCAGTTACTGTTTTGATGTCCTTATTTTTGCTAACTGTGTTTTATTGTTAACTTTGTAGGTGTTGTTTTAGATGAAGAGAAGAATGTTTCGAGAGATAATAGCGAGACGTTGGAGCCACCGGTATCCTCTCTCCAAGGATTATCACCGATCCCTTACCGTTGTGAAGATGATGTTGCGATTCCAGGCGGTATGTGTTTTTTTCAGTCGTTGTGGTTGTTTGTTTATCGATGTCCGACGTGTGTTTGTGTGTTAGAGAGTGTGATTGATTTCAGGTTGAAAATGGAGGTTATCATGTGAGCACATAGGTGTGTGTATGTATGCATGTGCATATATATATATATGGATGAACAAAGAAATGTATATGTATATGCGTCTTTCAGTGATATTATCACCATGTATCGTGTTGTTTATGCTTACTGTGTTTGATTGTTGGTTTTGTAGTTGTTGCTTCAGATGGAGCGAAACATGCTTCGAGTGATGGTATGGTGATGTTGAAGCTACCAGTGTCCTCTCTCCAGGCATTGTCACCGATCCCTTACCGTTATGAAGATGATGTTGCGATGCCAGAAGGTATGTATTTGTTTATCTGTTATTTTGGTTGTTTGTTTATTGATGTTTGACGTGCGTTTGCGTTTTTTTGCAGTATATGATTTTGGGTATTTGGTGTTAGATACTAATATTTTTTTCTACAAATTGTTGAGTTGTAGATTTAGTAACATTTTTTGTATTTGTAAAGGCGATTGGGTATTGAAAGTGTTAATTCATCAATGATGTTTTGAGGGAAGGTAGTGAGTGAATGTGTCTGGGGTATTGCGAACCATTCTCAGGCTTGTTATCCATAGTCTCTTGCAATTGGTTACGATAATTACGCGACCACACATAGGTATTCTACAGTGATTAATATGAATCAGTCTAATTATCAATGGCTTCATGGGCTAGTGACATGGCTTCTCTTGGCCTCACCTAGCTTTCTCTCGGTCTACTTGTACACTGGACAATATCGCTCGTTGATTTAGGCGGTGATTGGACATAGGCGAGACATATACGAACCACCTCAGCCGATGAATATTCACTTCCTGATCAATCGATTTGGCAATCTGTACTTAGTATCCTATGCGTAACTTCAGCATTGCTCACTCGGCAGACAAAAATGTATGATCTGTGTATCGGTTCACCTATGATCGAATAATAGTGACCTGAGAACATTTTCTGTTCTTATTGGCTATGTTTGACACCCATAGAGTAGAACCAAGCGAATTGTTGATTAGTAGACTCGTCCTTTGATTGACAGACTAATATCTCACCCACTTCATGAGTGACACAAAAGCCGACCGAACTTTTTGATTCCGTGTCGTGGTTTCATCAAATACCTATTCATCAGGACTGATGAGACGTCCAAGATAAATTATAAGTGATCGACATGCTCAACTACTTCACTCCCTATCATTAATGCAGAGGTTGACGCAGCCCAGTTTTGAATTAACAATTTTGATTTATAGGGAGAGAATTGCGTCTTAAACATGCTCGCATTATTGCTTAAGGCAACAGTGGTCTCAATATCTTTTCAGCGTCTTTACCAAACAGCACGATATCACTTGGGTATTCTAAATCAATAAGCGAATCTTCTGGTAGAAGACCGACCTCTGAAAAGTCAGACTATGAGAGTATTATTTTTAAAAGGATATCGATGACGAAGTTAAATAAGAGTGGAGAAACTGCACAATCCTGAGGAACACTACTTGAAGTTGACAGTTCTCGATAAACTTTAACTTGACCAATAGTGTTGAAGTGAAGAACCTCTACAAATTTGATGTACTTGTTTGGTATGCTTTTTAATGACAAACACTACCACAGAACCTCACATTCGACAGGGTCGAAAACTGCCTTAAAGTCTAAGGTTAAGAAATACACTGTAGTCGGATGTCGGGAAGTATGTTTATGTTCCAGGACTTGACAAAGGGTGGGTATTTGGTTGTTACGTTCACGTCTAGGTTTGAACCGAGTCTGACTGTCCCGATTTCTCTCTTCACGAGCCCTGGTTATTGGGGAAAATATATTAGGTGTTATATTATTCAAACAGATTCCTTTGTGGTCACGACTAGGGAGATTTCTGTGCTTTCTTATAAACTGGGACAATCAACGATCGAGACCAGTCAGATGGGATTATGTCTAATTCCCATATTCTAATTATGATCTCAGTCGATCTGACTGATAAACTAGACTACTATCTTTAGAGATCTCCAGAGCTAACCCATTTGAACCTGCTGCTCTGTGTCACTTTAGATTAGTTATAGATTTTTCAACCTCACTAAGAGTTTGAGGGCTGATGTCGATTTTCCTTTCAGGCTGTTTGGCGATAGTGGGTAACTGAAGGGTAGCAGGAGGTCAGTTGAACTGTTGCCTAAAATATTCGGCATATCGGTCTAATCTCATGGGTTGAGAGTGAATAATAGTCCTGAGATAGTCTCACTAACAGGCGGATTATTAAAACCTGTTCGCTTGATAAGTCATTCGGTTGTGGGTGTCGCAGTGTCAGACAATGTCTTCCCTTATGATTGGAGTTGATGTTTGCTAGAAATGAACGGTTATGTGAGCATAGTTGGAGCAGCCTGTTGGCCATGAAGACGTGGGAGTGTGGTGACGGAGGCTAAGGGACAATAGTTTGAGGTCGGTAAAACATGACCCTTTTATGAGAGGTTTATGATCTCCTAGCTCCCTACTTCCAAAGGCCTTGGCACTGAAGACGTAAATCCGTGGTGTAAGTTGTAAAATCATTTCAGAGTCGATATTTCCTAATTTCTTCCCTTCGTTGTGAGAAGGCATCATTGCCGTAGATGCTGGTTTTCTGAAGAAAACACTTTACTGTTATCACACGACTGTACAATTAGCAGTATGACTTCTCCTTCACACCTGAGGTTACTAATTTCACACTGACCGTTCTCCAAACCGACCTGCATGTTATGATAATACCTAAACGAACAAGTATTACAGCCCATATAAATCGATTAAGTGACCACGATATGCAAGCCTAACCACCATATCCATTTAGCAGTTACTGTTTTGATGTCCTTATTTTTGCTAACTGTGTTTTATTGTTAACTTTGTAGGTGTTGTTTTAGATGAAGAGAAGAATGTTTCGAGAGATAATAGCGAGACGTTGGAGCCACCGGTATCCTCTCTCCAAGGATTATCACCGATCCCTTACCGTTGTGAAGATGATGTTGCGATTCCAGGCGGTATGTGTTTTTTTCAGTCGTTGTGGTTGTTTGTTTATCGATGTCCGACGTGTGTTTGTGTGTTAGAGAGTGTGATTGATTTCAGGTTGAAAATGGAGGTTATCATGTGAGCACATAGGTGTGTGTATGTATGCATGTGCATATATATATATATATATATGGATGAACAAAGAAATGTATATGTATATGCGTCTTTCAGTGATATTATCACCATGTATCGTGTTGTTTATGCTTACTGTGTTTGATTGTTGGTTTTGTAGTTGTTGCTTCAGATGGAGCGAAACATGCTTCGAGTGATGGTATGGTGATGTTGAAGCTACCAGTGTCCTCTCTCCAGGCATTGTCACCGATCCCTTACCGTTATGATGATGATGTTTCTATCTAGTGTCAGAATTTATCGCCTTATGTGTTAAATTTCTGTGGTTGTTTTTAGGATTTTGCAATTTTGTTATTGAATTCATTTTTTTCATGTTTTTTTTCGCAGTGCTTTATGTTTTTTTTGGAGATTGATTTTTGGCATGTTTTTTTTGCAGGTGTGTGTTCTTCTTTGGTTTGGAATAATGATCTTCAGGTAATGTTTTATAGTTTTTATCAATTTACTTGTGTGTGTCAAGTTTGTTTTGTCTACTCTGATCGCGGTGTTATTATATTTTCGTTTGTTCTTTAGAATTCTTCAAGAAGTTTATCAAATTTGCCTATCATACCTAAAGGTCGTCCGAGTGTGACATTCGCACCAATCGTAGGTAAGTGTTTTTGACTTAGTCAATCTACCGTTCCGTTGTGTACCTTCTGTATAAATGATTTATTTTAAGTGCATAACCAGGTTTTCGATGTGTATTAATTCACTAGCTACGTCGTGATTATCGGTATTCTGCTTTGGTATGGTTACATGTGTTTTAGTGTCATATTTACAATATATGAGCTGTTTATTTTGTTGGACATTGTATTTTTTGTGTTCATAAGTTTGTAAATAAGTCAAATAACACTCGCAGTTGAGTAATACATGTATTCATTAAAGTAACTGAATCATATTCCAACTATGTTATCGTCATTCCGTTTTATTGCATTTGGAATTTCCTTCTTATTCACTAATTTGACAGTTTGTGTCATCAAAATATTGTTCTGAATTACTCTCATGAACTAGTCGATTGGTTATTACGTTATTTAACAAATTAAAATGTTCATGCGAATCCATTTGTTGACTGTATAAATATTGAAATATCTGACATTTTATATTTCAATAAAAAAAATGTGATTGATCGCTTACAAGATAGAATTTTCTAGTCATTACTTTTATTCCTGAGTATTTAATTCATATCACTTTTTAAGCTTGTAAATCAGAATTTTGCTACCCAGTGTATGGTATTCCGTCTATATCCAGTAATACGTCCTGACAAATGCAGTTAATTTTGAGCTAACGTAAGCTTTTTCTTCTATGACTCCACCGATTCCCATGCCATCTATCTTTAGCCTTGTGTCAGAAAAAAGCAGCCAAATTCCTATTATTATATCTCAACATAAATTATCAGACCTCAGCACACTTCAATATGAAGTCGTACTGTACATACAATCATGCCATAAGCATATGTGCCTGGTCCTACGTTGTAGTTGCCTGACTGCCATAAGCAGCAAAGAGCAAAGCAGACGGTACATAGTGGATTATAATAATCTAGATACACATCACAACAGTTAATTCGTCCACCGGGAGCTTACAATAAAGAGAATACAGAGATAAAATAACAGTTGTCTACTAAGTTTTTTTTTACCCCAGTGAAAAGATAAATAACAATAATCTGTCACTCAGTCCTAAGAGTTACAATCTATTCGATACTCGTTCGATCAAAGCAATTACTGGAATGAAACTTAAGTTTACAATACTCATCTCTTTTCTTTTTTATCATTCAGCAATGGAATGATGTAAAGATAAATATTTTATTTAAGCTGACCTTCACCATTTGACTAATATCTACTGCTTTAAAGTTTCGTTTAGCATTCTTTTTCTTACCAGAAACAACCGGTATTTCTAATACATTACATTCGATGAATAACTTTTCTAAGATATACTAAGTTATACTGAAGGACTGCTAATTTTACATAGTCTGTTTTAATAAATGCACGAACTAGACCACTAAGGCTTTGGTATAAATTGACAAAAAATCTGGGAAAGTTCATGAAATACTAAAGGATATTTATGAAGATAACAAGGTAAATAAGAAAGCTCTTTTTAAGCCAATAGTAGTGACAGCCACAAGGATGAATATCGACTTTCTTTGTTCGTGAAAACATTGGACGTGTGTGATCTCTCTTGCTTTTTGTTCACCGTTTCACGATTGTAATGATTTCTGACAAGCTGAATATGGGAACCCTTATCTATATACAAATTTTCACAAATACACGGGACGAAAAACGACTGGAAAATACCACTAGGGTTTTGAGCAATGGAAATGTAAACGGGACAAATTTTGAACAGTAAAGTGTTTTTGACCTTATTCGAACTTATTTATTAGACAAACAACGTAGTGAAGTTCAGTTCTTGAATTTTAATCCTAGAAATAATTAAGTGGTGCTAAATTCTACTTTAAAAGACTTCTTCGATTGTTATAAAAACACTACTTTTATTTACATAGTTACAAATCAAAATCTGACATCCTCTGTCTTTTTTTTCATGAACAGTATATTTTGATAGTCCAGATAATTCTCAACCCAGAGTATCTGTTGGTCCGATTGCTCATGAGGAAAGTGATCTTGGTCATTTTGATTGCGAACTGTCGGAAAAGCTAATTCATCAAGAAGGTTCCTTGGTAAGCCATGTACTTTCTAAATTTTATTACCTTTGTCAATGAAATGTTTCTGGCTTAATGAATTTTTTGTTGAGTTTTAGAAAAACTTGATGGTTTCCGTGTTAAATGTAGTTCTTGAGAAACTTAATTATCAGAAGTACTTCAAGTTACTCGAATATCTTTTATCATTGAATTTATCCAGTTAAAATTATTGAATTTAACTGAAAATTACGATTATATTGTACTTTAAATTGGTCCTTCACCGAATTATCTACTCACACCTATATTAAATAAACTACATAATTTGACAAGTCAACACGATTGACTAAAAATTCAAGTTTATTTGGTGTTATTAACGTTGGCTTTTAGCATTGAATTATTCAAACTGTTTTAGATGAATCATTTTGTCATATAATTCACAAGTTCAATTTCTCTGTTATCGTTCAAATGAAAAGTTTTGGTGACATCACTCAGTAAGAAATAAGTTAAATTTTACAATCGTATAACCTTATCTAAAAGACCTAGTTTTGACAATCTGTTTGTTTGTTTTTTTAATTCGAGTTCAACAAATAATAACTAACTAGTCACGAAATCGGATATGTTTAATACTCTTCTGATTACTAGTTTATGGCTACAAGGCATACTTCATGTAGTTGAATCCGTTTCATTCACTATGATCAATCCTAGACAAGAATATGCTTACTAGTTAGTGGTTTTGTTGGACATTTTTTATAAGACCATTTCTGTTGTTCACATTTTAACAATCCTAATGACAGATCATTACCTATTATAATCAGTTTGTACATTTTTGATTAATTTGGTGTTTAGTATGTTGGATTAGTTCGGTTTTTTGTATACATATTCATTAAGCATTGACCAGATGAATCACTAGTTAAATTTTTCCAGCTTATATTAAAAGTGACGTAGTATCAATGACTTGAAGTCAGCCATTTACAATTCTTGTCTGTTGTTCGATTTTTTGTGTTCCATCTGTTTATTTCCTGTTACTGACGAAGTATCACCATCTATTGTTCGTATATATTTATCCATGTTTTCATTTGTGTTTCAACTATAGACTCAGAGTGAAAATAAAGAGAATATTGGATCCTTTTTTGAATCGACTGCGTTATCTAGCACTCAAGACTCGAAGTATCCATCTCCATCCACTTCCTCGTTATCGTTATCAAGAATTAAACTTCCATGGTGTACTCCATACGATTGCCAGTTTTTACCATTCAGTTAGTCGATTACTTATTTTTCTTATATTTCATCATCTTATTTATCATTACGATAAGGCTCACCGTTTTTAGGAGAAAAATAAGAGACAGTTTATTTGTGACCTGAATACATGATGATTTTGTAAATCTTCATTGACTGAGATGGTTGGGCCACGTGATACGTATGCCTGAACGCCGATTACCACGACGCACAATGCCGACTAGTGTTGGGAATGGTTGGAAGAAAGTTAGGGGCGGACAAACCAAAACATAGAATCAGTCCGTGAAGTTACTAACTTTCTACGGCATTAATTCTTTCTCCCTGTATCATATCCTTATATGAAGTGTTGATTTTTTACTGCCATTGAGGTAACTGCATATTAACTTGGTATTGATTTTGTTGTGCGAATGAGGTATGGTAACTTGGACCGATGTATATATGTGCTTGGTCCTACATTTAGCTGACTGACTTACATGATGACTAGTTTTTGTTATAAAATTTATTATATTCTATATTTTATTACTAGAATGTTTCTTTTCTAGGTTATAATGATGTATTCACATCAACTTTTTACTTTCAATGTACACAATCAAATGTCTTAGTTTATCTAATGTAAACTAATCATAGTTAGCTTATTTAGGAAAGATATTTTCAGGATCAGGAATTTATTTATTATTTATTTTATTTGAACACATATATATTGGTACAGGAGTGCGCCAAATATATATATGCGCCACACAAAACAATGAGAATCTAAGAAGAAGAAAAAGTGAGGAACGTAAAAAATAGTAATAATAATAAACAATAACGAAGAGATTGGTGTAAGGTAGTGTAATAATAATAGCAATAGTAGGGGAACAGAAGGGTACAATCAGAAGAAATCTTTCAGTTAAGTAAGATACAACCACTTTTTACGAAGAACGTAAAAGAAGGTTACAGCAGGATCGCCACTGGCTTCTATTCTGAGCCATATCTGATAACATCTCTAGCCACTGTGTAGCACCATCTCTCGGATCCCAACCAGGGAGTCGTGGAGGACCAACACAAGCCAGTCCTTTACAGTTTCCTTTCATCCCACGACACCATGTCATATACTAACCACCTCTCCGCTTTTTCCAACCAGTCCCAGAGTCGGCAAATAATGCACGACGTGGAATTCTCTGGGATGACATTCGGAGAACATGTCCAAGCCACCGAAGTCGGTGTTTCAAGATGGTGACACCAATTGCATTATCGTCTCTGCGCCCGAACACACGATGCAGAACCCCTGCATTACTAACATGGTGTTGCCACTGGATGTCAGCAATCCTTCGGAGACAACGATGATCGAACACAGAAAGTCGTCTAACGTCCTCAACTCGGAGAGGCCAGGTTTCACAAGCATAGAGCAAAACTGCTCTCACCGACGCGTTGTAAATCCGACCTTTTACAGCCAGACTAACATCACGAAGGCGCCAAAGGTGGCCCAGATTGGCATAAGCCGCTCTGGCTTTCACTATTCGTGCATTGATCTCATCACTCACACACCCACCAGCACTTATGCAGCTACCCAGATACACGAACTTTTCGACTACTTCTATCTGCTCACCATCCAGGGTGAGTACAGGATTGGAATCCTGCCAGTCTTGTAGAAGTACTTTGCACTTCGAAGGTGCAAAGCACATACCATACCTACGGACACTGATTGCCAACTGATTAAGTGCGGATTGCATGCCTTGGGCATTATCGCACAGTAAGACAATATCGTCCGCATACTCAAGGTCGAGAAGTCTTTCTCCAGGCAACAGATCCACACCACCATTACTTACATTCATCAGAGCTGTTTCCAGAATGTCATCGATGGCAAAGTAGTAATAGTAATAATCGGTTCACGAATAAAAGTATTTGTATTTCAAACTTTTTCTAAATGCTATTTCCTGATGTTCATTTTTTCATTGGTTGACACTGACCTATTTGTTAATTTTGTTTTTTACAAGAATCAAAACGACCTCCTACTAAAAGTTTTATACAAAGTGATGGCCATTTAAGACGTAGTAAACGACTACGTGTACCAGCTACACATGATAGGAATAAAGTAGTTGTTTATGAACCCGATAAAGATGAATATGGTTTAGTTTATCAAAAACCAATTGGATTAGCTATATTACCTGACCCAGATGAAATTAACAGACGTCAAAAATTTCTCAATCGTTTAAAACGTTGTCAAAATAATCGTACTCAGTTTTTAAGAAATGAAAAAATCAATCGAGCAAAACGCCTTCAAAAACTGGCCAAACGTTACAGATCACTGAAAGGTAGGTGACTATAAGAGCGAAATATAATAATATTTAGGTTACCGACTTATCTGTTGTTGTATATTTTCTGTAATGTTACTTTTTTTAAAATATTTTGAGTTATTTTCATCTTGCCTGTATTCTAATTTCTTCACAGTTTATATGTTGTCTTATTTATCAAGTGTGCACTAAATCAAAGATCTATTCAGTAAACTTATTCTGAAGTATCGCTTACTGTATGAAGTACACATTACTAGATAATCATATTTCATCGTACTTGGGATGCATCATAGGACCCTGAAGTTTCTGTTCTTTTTGAACCTATGGTTGTATTATTTTCTCGCAGTTACTGGATACTAGTATCTCAGGTCAAGTGTAGCTAGTCTTTGGTGGTAGCTAGGAAGCTGAGTCTGATAGTCAATTGAAAGTAACTTTTACGGCAGCTTTTACCATAAAGTTTTAGGTGCTCATAACTAAATATTTTAATCTAAAATATATTAACAACTATGCCACTACTTCTATTTTTCTATAAAAAGGTGCACAGAAACCTGAAACAGATCCATGTATGCGAATTCAATTGGATCCAGATGTTGAATGGATATCACATACAGAAACACAGTTGCCTATCGGGATCAATGATGCATCTCCTTTCCAACGTATGTCAAATAACAGACGAAGTATTGAATAATATTTTTTTCTTACCCAACCATATTTTGACTAAAAGTTCTTACTAACGTTAATATTACTTTGAGTAAATTAGCTTTATCGTTCTCATATGCAGAATATATTTTATATTGCATAGGTAGGTGATCTGTATTTCAGTAATCAGCGAACATTCATTAACGTTTAAACAAATAGCCAAATAGAAGTTTGATTGACAGAGATTATTTCAAATCTACTTGGTTTAAATATAATGGTGACCTACTTTTAAAACAAAAGTGATTAATAAGGATTATGACGGATACTAGACCACACTAATTAATGTGTTATAACGCTCGATTTTTCCCCGTCTACACTAATGGGACGATAATTTACCTTAGACAAATATGTACACTAGATACCTTTCCAGTATCTATGATATGATGGGAAAAAAGTCAATTTTCGATTGATTTACTCATTATGAATTTTGTTCAAGGTTACTTCCGTTTGATTCAATGTAATGATTACTCAATGTAGTATTTGTTTTCTTTTCTCGTATGATATTTTATTCTGTATAATATGCGATATTCTTGTATCCCATTGACATGGACTATGCTCAGTATGTGATTTGTTATGTGATTATATTCTAATTATTAATCAAAATGGGTCTACAATCAATATATAAATGAGTGTGTTTTCTACTAGAGTCGTCGTCGTCAGTGTTTTGGGGTTAATAAATCATCACTTATACCAATCTTTGTGTTCTTACTTTCGCGTCGTGGGAATTGCAGTGGTCCCTCGTTCCGAGTACATGTGATAGGCGTTTCCGACATAACAATCAGCGACGACCAGATACAAAAATAGCATTAAAAGAGCCAAGACAATAAGCATTCAAACCACAAATTATAACAATCTATTCTACTGAACTTCAACACACCTCAGATCAAAAACATCTGACTAGCCTGACTGGGACGTATGTATATTTCCATACCAAAAACCGACAACAATCACAATATTATCTGTGTTTGACTATTTGATGATTCTTGAACTAATCGGTGAATTATTTAGCCTTCGAATTTATTATATTTTCTTAAGTAGTGAAACTAGTAATTAAAATAAATTGAATTGTCCCTGTTTATTTTGATGTTTGGAAAACTGTTTTGAAGATATTATGTTGAGTTACAAGAAGATATCGTCCCATATTCTTACTACAGTGAACATCAACATTCGGCGATCATTATGAAATCAATATTTTATTATTAACATTTAGTTAGGTATATCTACTTAGCCTGTTGAGCACACCTAACTTCGGTTACCTGAAGGTCATTTTAACATATGGTAATGGGCTATCTTAGTTCCTCTGATTATCATTCGTAAAACAAAATGTCTGTTCATTTTTGTAATAACTTTTAAATCTGATATAAGCAGTAATGGGTAGTGATTTTATCCTTAATTATAGAGGTGATATATCCAGAAAATGCACAATTTCCTCCATTCAAATTTTCTACTATGGAATACTCGAGTTACGTAGTTCCAGCTTTATCTGGTGCTTTTCCAAGTAGAACTAAGACTCGTATACCTTGTTTTGAAATGAATGCAAATCTTACGAGGATTGTCAGTAAGGAACAAGAAAGACGTCAACTTCATTATGATCCGAACGCTATAAATGTATTTAAAATGATGTCAAGTCCTCCTGTTCTTATGAATAATAACAGTTCTTACAGTCTTTATGCTGTACAGATTGCGAAATTTGCCATTCCTTTAACAAAACCTTGTATCGTATATATTCCAAAAGGTAAGTTCTTATCATAAAAATAATCATGTATTATTCTGCTTAATTTTATTTTACTGTTCACAGCTAGAATTTATTAATTACTTTAAAATGAATCATTTCTCCCTCCTTATTTAAAGATTTCCTTGAATTAAAAATGACTATACATTCGTTATACATTATATCCCATTGATAAGATATATATAACTTGATCATAATGAAAACTTAACTCACCAAATAATGCAGAACACTTTATGAGAATGAATTAAGTTGTATTCATTCACAACCATACTGAGATTACAGGTTATCCAATTGTTTTCCACACTACCTGTCTACATAAGTGTCTATTTACTAATCTGTTCAAAGACATAATATTTACAGTTCAGTAAGATCATTCTTAGACTTAAATTATGTAGTTTTCAAGAGCTAAAAATTTATCAATTTTGTTAATTTTTCTCTGACATTTATTCATTCTCTGATCAATCTTTTTATTTCAGGTATACCGTACAAATTTTTAAATGCAACAAAAGAGAACTTAAATCTTTGTCGAATAAGATATGTTTTAACTTGATTCTTTTCTTTTAAATAATTTTATGTAATTTTATCCGCTTCACTTCTGTCGTATATATCTATATATACACTTTTATACCGATTGTCATTATTTTGATTTCTCTTGAATAAATATATTTAAATGTAGTAACTTAACTTTACTATTGCTTCATATTGACTATTTTGTTATTTTATGGTTGTTATATCTTGTGGGCTGTGTGCCATGCGAATGTATAATGTAACGATACTACCAATTAGAGAGCAGTGACTTATCGATCGGACCAGTGACGCATAAATCCCGTACGAGCAGCCTAGAGTCCTGATTGGTCGTGCTTCGTGCCTAGCCCAGCCAGTTAAGTCCAGAACACCAATCTCAGCCTCGGCAATATGAATCATTTATTTCAAACATACTGGGTTTATATACCAATCAAACAGACAACACCGTACCATAAAATAGGAAACAACATTTGTACAAGATTTGGCCAAATGTGGCTGCGAGTGTGGGAGGTAGTAATTAATAGACAGGGCATAATTCAAGAATGGTAAATCGTATAATAATAGTTCATAGGCCAAAATAAAGCTTATGATAAGACTTACTTACTTACGCCTGTTACTCCTCGTGAAGGAGCATAGGCCGCTCACCAGCATTCTCCATCCAACCCTGTCCTGGGCAATGCTTTCTAGCTCCGTCCAGTTGTAATTCATCGTTTTCATATCTGCTTCTATTATCCGACGCAATGTGTTCTTTGGCCTTCCTCTTTTTCGCTCCCCTTCAGGATTCCAAGTTAGGGCTTGCCTCGTGATGCAGTTTGACGATTTGCGTAATGTATGTCCTATCCATTTCCATCGTCTTTTCCTAATTTCTTCTTCAGCTGGAAGTTGGTTTGTTCTCTCCCACAGAAGGCTATTGCTGATGGAATCCGGCCAATGGATGTTGAGTATCTTGCGTAGACAGCTATTTATAAATACTTGTACTTTCTTGATTGTGGTTGTTGTAGTTCTCCAAGTTTCAGCTCCGTACAGTAGAACTGCCTTGACGTTCGTATTGAAGATTCTCACTTTGATATTGGTTGACAGTTGTTTTGAGTTCCATATGTTCTTCAATTGTAGGAATGCGACCCTTGCTTTGCCGATCCTCGCCTTTACGTCTGCATCGGATCCTCCTTGTTCATCGATGATGCTTCCCAGGTATGTGAAGGACTCTACATCCTCCAGAGTTTCGCCATCAAGTGTGATTGGATTGCTGTTCTCCGCTTTGAATTTGAGGACCTTAGTTTTCCCTTTGTGTATTCTGAGGCCTACTGATGCAGAGACTGCTGCTACACCGGCTGTCTTCATCTGCATCTGTTCGTGTGTATGCAATAGGAGGGCTAGGTCATCTGCGAAGTCCAAATCGTCTAATTGATTCTGAGCTGTTCATTGTATTCCGTGTTTTCCTTCAGATGTCGAGGTCCTCATAATCCAGTCGACCACCAGGAGAAAAAGGAAGGGAGAGAGTAAACAGCCTTGTCTGACTCGGGTCCTTACTTGGAATGCATCTGTCAGCTGTCCTCCATGCATTACTTTGTACTGTAGTCCGTCGTATGAGTTCCGGATAATATTGACAATCTTCTCAGGAACTCCGTAGTGTCGAAGAAGTTTCCATAATATCCTCCTATCTATACTGTCGAATGCCTTTTCATAATCAATGAAGTTGATGTATAATGATGAGTTCCACTCAACTGACTGTTCGACGATGATCCGTAGTGTTGCAATTTGGTCTGTGCACGACCGATCCTTACGGAATCCAGCTTGTTGATCTCGAAGTTGGGCGTCTACTGCATCTTTCATCCGGTTCAGCAACACTCTGTTGAAGACCTTCCCTGGTATTGACAGTAGTGTAATGCCTCTGTAGTTTTCACATTTGCTCAGATCTCCTTTCTTTGGAATCTTGACGAGGTGCCCTTCTTTCCAGTCCATCGGCACTTGTTCCTCCCAAATCTTTTTGAATATAAGGTATAGCATGTTTGTAGTTACTTCGATGTCTGACTTCAGTGCTTCAGCTGGTATATTGTCGGGTCCTGCTGCTTTCGCGCTCTCGATTTGTCTGACGGCCATTCTAATTTCTTCCGTCGTTGGTGGGTTGACATCTATAGGATGATCTATGTGTGCTGCTTCGATGTCCGGTGGATTCATTGGAGCCGGTCTATTCAGGAGTTCCTCGAAGTATTCTACCCATCTGTTACGCTGTTGTTGAATTTCGGGGATTGGCTTGCCTTCTTTGTCTTTGACCGGCCTCTCTGGTTTACTATATTTCCTTGCTAGTTTCTTCGTTGTATCGTGAAGCTGTTTCATATTTCCTTCTCTAGCAGCTTTTTCTGCCGTCGTTGCTAGTTCTTCCACGTATTTCTTCTTGTCGGCTCTAATGCTCCTCTTCACTTGCTTGTTTGCTTCTATGTATTCAGCTTGTGCTCGGACTTTCTCTGCTCGTGTTTGGCTGTTGTTTATTGCTGCCTTCTTGTTCTTCCTTTCTTTGATCTTGTCCAGTGTTTCTGTAGAGATCTATTCCTTATGATGGTATTTCTTTAGACCGAGAACCTCTTGACACGTTGAAGTTAATGCTTCTTTGATGCCTTTCCAGTTGTCCTCCATACTAGTTTCTTCTCTTATAGGGTTACTGCCGGTCCCAAGCCCGGGTAAAGGAGGGGGGTTGGACATGGGGTTAGCGGCCCCATCCCGTAGAAAACTAACTCGCTAAAAAAACGCTTACCAGAAAAAAGTAATCCAAACCATTTTAACTCTGCCCTGGGAGTTAGAAGGTCTTCATTTAGAAGAATTATGACGCTTCATGGTGAAAGCCGAGTTGCTTATGATAAGAGGGACATGAATATGAACAGTTTATTTATTTAACAATTACATGATAAAAGCCTACGCATAGTATTGGTCCATAAATGGATCCTAAAAGTTACCATTCATTATGCTTATCGGGATATAACAATAATAAATCAAGATAGTAGAACTTTCCTTTAATCAATTTAAGTTAATGATTCGAAATACATAAGAAAGTTAAGTTACTAGTGTCTACGTACATTTAAGTTCTAACCAATATAAGTAAAAGTTAAATCATTAATTATTTTGTGAGGTGAAACCTAAACACTGAGTTTTAAATACTGTTACTGATAATTAATATTCATCGTCACTGTATTTAATTAGCTTGAAAAATATAGTACAGTTCGGTGTACTTAGGTGACCCTACCTTGTCTAGAAAGACAATGTATTTCCCAAGGGTAGTAGGTTGCTTAGTAATCTGGATGAAGGTTAGTGAATACTGAAATGCCAAGAAAAATACGTGTTTGGGTTTTATATTTGCTAAGATATAGTATAAGTCAGTTGATAATTCGTTCATGAACTGTCTAAGTAATACATTGATAAAAGGCTTGGTAAACAGTATTTCTGAAACTGGACATCATAAAGGGATTCGATTAATCCAATTTTGTTCACTATTGTGGTGTTCACTACATATGTTAACAGATACAAGTAGTATGTAACACCAACCGGAAATAGAATGTCTGGTAGCAGAAGATTGTAATGAAGAGGACAGGGAAAAAATTTGAGAGCAATCCAAACAATAATGGAATTGGAGAAGTAGTGGAGTATGTAAAGGAAGATGTGTATAATTTCCATATTTCTCGAACTCATTCCGTAACTCGGTATTAAACAGTTAATTGCTATTTTTCATCTCAGCTCTTGTTCGCTACATTATGACTTTCTTTAAGATCTCGGTATTATATGCTCAATCCAATGTCTAGCAAACATATCATTTAGGACTATGGTCAAAAATGTATACGTAACTGTCTAGCAAGGAGTTCATGGAGGTAGGTATAAATTTTGCATATTTTTTATTCTGTGCACCTAGATGGAATTCATTAGGTGTCTGGGGAGCATGTTACCAAATTTCATCATATACTCTACAATGTTCCCTGACAGTAAGTCCACTTACATCTTCGATTGTGTTGCGAAATGTTACTCATGGACATTTTATGAGTATCTGATTGAGATTCACTTACTTGTCCAACATTGACTGAAAGTTTAGATCAATACTGTACTAGGTCCAAATCATAGAGTAACATATACAATGGGTATAGTATGCTGGGTTTTTCTTCCGTCAACGTCAAAGAGCAAATTAGCATACCTGAAGAATTCTATAACTATAGTGAAATCAAAGTCGCTAAGTAATTTGAGGTTTTAGTGAATCATTCGACATCTATCTAATATAAGCATAAGTACATTCTCTAGAAACATCTGTAGCGGTAAATAAATCCCCAAAATAAATAGCTCTGTAAGCTTTCTTGACATTGGATGCTGACCAGATTAGTTTTAGTGGACTCACCTAGCTGAAGGCGCTCGGTCATGCATCCGCACCAGATCACGTGTGGGAACGCCGTGCTCAACATCTACTGCAATCGCTAGCCAGACTAGATCAGACAATTCCGATATATTGGCAATCGTCAAATACAGCTTCTGATCTCCTCGATTCTGTCTTTTGATTTCTCTTGGTGGGTACGAGTTATATTAGAAGGTGTTACTGGTAAAAGCGCTGTCAAACACTGAATACCTGTGCCATCTTCACATCGGTCGGTCTAGTTTTGGTAGATATTGAACTACTCCATTTAGATATTAAGTGTTCGGAATCTATTTACGTCCTTGTACCATGGTTTTATAATTACAATGTCGATGAGATCCACATATAGTAAGGGCCAGAGCGGCTTATGCTAATCTAGTCCATCTTTGGCGCCTTCGTGATGTTAGTCTGGCTGTAAAAGTGATGTCTTGCCGGATTGAACGCTATATTCGTCTTCTAAGCTATTCCGTAACCCCCAAGCTAGAACTAAACAGTGACCTGAACACGAGAGATATGACTCAAAGTATGCGATAAGTAGTTTACTCCAAGGTTCATTCTAATACAGAAGATATAAGGGTTTTTATAATATTTTAAATGTCCTTGGGTTGCTAGAAGATTCTGGAATGCTACTAAACAGTAACAGTGTAGCAGCCAACCAATCAGAGCCTCTGCATGTGACGCTTCATTTCCTTGATATTTCTGGCCAAGACTCCAAGTGAACGCTGATTGGACGAAACGCTTCTTGATGTTTCCTGATACTTGC